AATGCATTAAAAATATATCAAATTTTTAAGCATGAAAATTGATTTAATTCTTATTATTTTAGGTAAAAATAACAGTAATAAAAATAAAAACTTAACCCACGTTAATCATAATACTTTAGGAGCCCTGTGGTTCTGCGTGTTTAAAGTCTTTTAAAAATTACGTAAGAACACAGCCATACTCTAAAAAGCCATATTAATTCACCCTTCCCCCACCTCCGGCCATTTTCACTACCTAATGCGGTACTGACGCACTCGCTAGCCAGCGGGCAAAACGAAACCCCAATGCCAATGCCAATGATTTGCTAATTTCGGAGTGCCTATGGTTCAAAACCATTTACCTCCACATCAGAATTACTAAAAGTGAGCAGAAATTGGAAAAATTTGGCATAAGTGATTTACTTGATGCTCAATAGAGGGAGCCACAGGCTCAAGAAAGTTTAGGGATAGAGATGAGAATACAAAAACTTAAGTATCATAAATTTTTTATAAGTTTTTAGGTTTTTTAATATTTTTTTGTATTTTATATTTTATACTTTTTTTGGTTTTTTATATTTTATACACAGTACAAACACTAAAGCAAAAAGCGGATAGGAAAGAGTTTACGATTAATAGCTCATTGGCATGTGGCTTGTGTTGGAGAGTGCAATAATTACTGGGATCGCGATGAAAATATTCTTAGGCAGATTTAAAATCTGCGGGAGATGTGATTCTTAAGTAAACAGATTGATAACTTTGCTTGAAGATCTTGATTGTAGTAGAAAAAGATGGAATAAGCAATTATATGGCAGCTCGCTGAAGAGACGTCCTTCCTTCATGGCGCGGGGGCTGGAACTGAAGTTGAGAGGGCGTCTCTTGCCCTTTTGGATGGCGGATAGATGCCAAACTCTCGGCCAATCACGGCTCTCGGTCTCTTCTGTGAGCTGCGAATAGCAGGATCGTATGCTGGAATCTGCTGAAGTGCTCGGTTATCAATCTGTTCAATTTTGAGGAATAAATTTCGACTAAGCTTTTTAATATGGTTATCTACAGGTTTAATATTTAGGTCCGAATGAATCACATCTGTACGGACGTACCAGGCTGCATTCAGGGCCATACGTAGGGTCTTACTTTGAAAAGATTGAAGTTTCTTCACATGAGTTTTTGCAGCAGTACTCCAGATTGTACATGCATACATAAAGACAGGTCTTATAATTGATGTATAGGGAAGAATTTTGTTTTTAATTGACAGATGGCTCTTTCGAGCTAATAAAGGGTAAAGTTGGGCTCTAGCACCTTTTGCTTTATTGAGAATATTTTCAATGTGAAGGTGCCAGCATAATTTTGAATCAAGTACAAATCCAAGGTACTTGTAAGAGTTTGACCAGGGAACATAATCGTCGAAAAACTTTAAATTAATGGAAGGGTACGGGAGGGGGCTACGTTTGAATATCATAGCAGCACATTTAGCAGCATTAATTTTGATTTTCCAAGTGATGAGCCAGTGCTCAAGGCTGGAGAGATATCTCTGAATGGTGTGTACCAGGTTTTCAACGTTTGTGTTGTGCTAGGATGGCCGTATCATCTGCATAAAGTGCAAGAGTGATACTTGGTGATTTTGGTATGTCATTTATGAAAATGTTGAACAAAATTGGGCCTAAAAGTGACCCTTGGGGGACGCCGCTGAGTATTGGACGGGGAGCCGAAATGAAAGAATTAACTCGTACAGAAAAAGATCTGTTAGTGAGGTACGAATTAATTATATGAATTAAATGGGCCGAAACGTCAAGTCGTATGAGCTTGATAATGATTCCTATATGCCAAGTCCTATCAAATGCTTTGGCTATATCAAGAAATAAAGCGCCAGTAAGCATATTGTTACGAAACCCTTCGTGAATGAACTCCACTGTCCTCAGCAGCTGGTGCGTGGTGCAGTGTTTTGCTCGAAATCCAAATTGTTCATCAATCAGAACGTTGTGATTCGGAGAAAATCATTCAGGCGTTTAAGTAACACAAATTCGTATATCTTAGATAACGAAGATAGGAGGCTGATAGGTCTATAATTTTGAGGATTTGAAAGGCTTTGGCCTGGTTTTGGAATAGGCACAATGAGTGCTTGTTTCCAGCTTTGAGGAAAATAGCAATGCTGTATCATAAAATTTATAAGCATTACTAGGAAAAATAGATAACTGGTGGGTAGATTTTTAATCATACGATTAGAAATAGAGTCCATACCAGGGGCTTTTTTGGGTTTGAGCTTGGTAACGTATTCACTTACCTCGCTCATGGATGTGTATTGTATTTCTCTTGCAAAAGGCGAGGAGAGGAAACGTTCAACATCTTGGAAAGAATTTGCGTTGTTCGCAAAAATTCCTTCATTATGTGGTGTAAATTGAGTTTGAAGAGAATCCGCAATTAGTCGGATTTCTCAGCGTCTGTGTGAGCCACCACTGCGTCCGTAGCTAAGGACGGAATGTGAGATTTGTGTTTGCGTAGGCGGGCTGATGCACGCCAAAGACTGTTATTATTGGTCGTTAAGGACTGAATGTAATTCGTGTATTGTGATTGGAAGAACTGGTCACATGATGCCTTGATCTCATTTTGGAGAGTACGGAGTTGAATTTTTAAGCCAGGATTTCTATTTCTTTGCCAAAGTCTCCGTACTTTATTCTTTTCTTTAATTTTGAGTTTAATTTCTTGAGGTATTTTATGAAAATTGGGTCTGAGGGTGGGTTTTGATACTTCCTTATAAGTATCAGTTAGGGTGTTCGTTAATTGATCTACTGCCTTGTCAATATCATGGCTGGATTTAATTTCGAGGGAGGGTATGCTTTTAGAATTTAATTTAAAGCAAAAATTGTCCCAATTTGTTGAGACGAGTGCCGGAAAATTTTGAGTAAAAATAGTACAGCTAAGGTCGATGATTACGGGGTTGTGATCTGATGATAAACAATTTTCAACAGTCACTTGGTATCCAAAAGGGATGTTTCTAAAGAGTGCCAAGTCAATAAAAGAGGGGGCACCCCGTGAACCATATCTAGTGGGGGAATCCGGCGCAATGATTTTAATTTGGGCGCACCGAGCCCATTTTAGGAGGCCACGACCAGCAGGGTTTGATCTATGACAACGCCAATGCTGATGGTGACAATTTAAATCACCAGCTATGATAAGATTATTTGAAAAATTGAGCAGTTTATTAAAATCAACCACAGGAAAATTTCCACCTGGTGGAAGATAGGCAGAGATCATAACTAGGGATGGCGAATTTTGAATAAAAATTTCGATAATCGTTGCTTCAAGTTTGCTCATATTTGGAGTGTCAATTCTGCGATGCGGGATTGAATTTTTTATGTAAATACAAGTGCCACCATGATAAACATCACGTGTATTTGAAGCTTGTCTGTCATTTTTATAAAGTGCATAATTTACAAGCTTGGGAGCTGGAGTTTGGTCTCTTGGACAAAAATGATATCAAAATCTATCTCTTCTACATAGTCTCTAAACTCATGAAATTTGGAAAGAATGCCATTGGCATTCCAGGTGCATAGTTTGAAGGTTTTTCAATCCTTTCAAAGTATTGAATTTTAATGGAATGTGGGAATCAGAGAATTGGAGAGTGATATAACTCTCAAAGATGTAGTAAGCCCGCGTCAGCACCAGATGGAGCCACTCTGAGCTGCGGTAAGGCGTTTTTGAATGCCAAAAGTAATTTGCTCTGGTCAATACCAGGCTGGTTAGAAATTTGGATTATAGCCAAAAGGATTTCGGTGCAATTTAGAGTCGAATTTGCTTTACCTCCAGGGGACCGATAAAATTTGGAATAAGTTTGGGGTGCAGTCTGTTGCATACCCGTAAGGGCAGCAGAGTATGAAACTCCAGGGCGAGTATTATTTGCACTGGGAGTGTGTGCAGCCGGCAGTGTTGGAAATGTATTGTGTTGTAAATTAAATTTGTTCGTGTTGTCAACGGTCTGACTGGGCTTTGTACTTGGTTTAGGTGGCTGACGATTCTTTGATCCTGGGAATCTCGGGCAGGATCTCCAGTTGGCTGCATGGCTCCCGGAACAGTTGGCACATTTGTTTGGTTCTTCGAAGGGCTTGGTGCAGTCTTTCGCCTGATGCGGACCAGCGCATCTTACACATCGTTGGGGTAGCATACAAACCTCCGAAGAAGGAAAGAATCCCTGGCAACGCCAGCATTGAGAGGGACCTTTCTGCCCTTTGAAATGCTCCATTACCACTTCTGTTCCAAGGAGTTCGGTGACTGAGTAGACTTCTGATGCTTTGAGGCTATTGTGAATTTGGAGATAGAAGAGAGGCATAGGCATTTTGGTCTTGAATTTTTTGAGTTGAGAGATCTTGTGGATTCTATAACCAAGTACTTCGACCGCAGTCTGTACAACGTTGATCGGTGTGTTGGAGGGTAATCCCCTAATGACCACTTTGAGTGGTCTGTCCGATTTTAGTGTGTGTGATTTAAATTGTATGTTGTTTTCAGTGAGAAATCTAACGACTGTCCTATAATCTGATTCGTTAGTGGTGGTGAGGCGTAGAAATTCAATGTCTTGTTTGGATTGGACAGTCGGTGCGTGTCTGCGTAACTGATTTAGTAAAAAGAACCAATCAGCACGCGGTTTAATGAAGATGGGTGGTGGTGTTTGAATTTTAGGTGTTGTAGTTTCAGCCGGCTGCTGCGTTAAGTTTTCTGTGTTTTCTGAGACGTTTTGTATGTTTGTGTAAGAATTTGTGGTTGGAATGTTGTTAGTATTATCATTAGTGTTGGGAAGTTTCTTTGCAATCAAGTGTTTGGGGGGGGGACTGCAAAGCCGTCACTGTCGACAGGTCTGGTTCTCTTTTTGGTGTCAGGCTTAGAATTTTCTTTGGGTGGGTCTGAGGATGAGGGTGAGTTAGAATTTGGATTTTTGGTTTCAGGATCAGATGCTATTGTGGTTTTTTGAAATTCTCTAATAAATTCTTCTTCTGTTGCAGGTAGGGTGAAAAGATTAATGTTGAGTATGGTGCAAAATGTGTGTAAAGAAAATAAAATTTTCTCACCCTCATCCTGTAGTTGCTTCATCATCAGTTCCCTTGTTGGGAGTTTCCGATCGTTGTAAGTGTTGAATGTCGAATAGTAGATCCGTGTGCCTGGTCTTTAAAGCATAAATTTGTAGTGCGCTTTTCGAAAGTTCGTGAGCAGAAGGAGAAGCAGGAGGAGTTGAGTGCGTTGTGTCCATATCCATTTGGACTTGTAATGGTTGAGAAGTCGAGTGGTTGCCTGTTGGCGGTGCCGTAATCGAGGTTTCCGTTTTCGCATTGCGGAGCTCGGAGCTCTCACGTCTGTCGCTCTTGGCGTCCATGACGCGAATCAATGAGAAAACGAAACCCCGAACACACGGCAAATATTCTCTTTCAAAAAGCGAACGAGGTTGCCAATTCGCCGGGTTACCAGCTTTGAACGTTTATCGCCATTTTTGGCGATGTTTACATTTAACGGATCCTTTGCGGAAGTGCTTCCGAATTTTGAAATCCCACGTTGGGAAAATGCAGGGAAGGATGTTTTCAAGCATCATGTGAAGGCAAGCACTAACAAGATCAGAAAGACTCAGATAACCAGCACTTGGCGCAATTTTTTCCGCCATCTTGAATCGGCAAAAATAGCGAAATCCTCGGAAGGAATTTTTTGATGCCAAGAGGGAAATGATGTCAAAAGACACTAAAATTTACTAAAATTTCCCTCCTTGAGCCCGACATAGGGAAGAAACTGGTGGTAGGCGAAAATCGCCTGATGCTAAATACAATAACGTGTTTGCGTTAAAAAGGTAAACAGTGTACATAAAACTAATTTAGTTATTGATATGGTAAAGTTAATCTACATACTTTTTTTCACCTTAGTATTCTAGATTATGATATATATAACTCCAACATTTTTACCCTTAATACTTCTCTCTTTTAACTCTGACTATTAATTTCTACAATTATTCATAATAATAGTTAAGTATGTTTGAAAAGATGTTCTTCATATAAATGCAGTAAAGATTATGCAAATAGAATATTTATCACGTAACATTAAAAATTTTAAAAGATAAAATATACATGAATATATTATTTAGAGATACTGAGATAACTCGCATTACATTTTATGTTGATAAACTAAACCGCTCATTATAGATTTACTCTCTATATGAAAATAAATCCCTCAGGGGGCTCACTTTCACACACACACACACAGCTTCAACCAAATAGATCATATGCTAGTGCCGTTAAAGCAACAAGGACCGTTGCAACTCAAACATTATAAATGCACAGATTCCTCCAAACAAAACCCTCCCTCAGGGGGCTCACTTTTGTGAGTACGGGTGTGGCAATCCCGAGGTACCCTAGCCCTTCAGGGGATCATCTTCTTGGTGAGACGTGTGTCACGATCTTGGAGCCCCCAGTGATCTATCCTCTTTTCCGTCTCCTCTCCTCTTGGCTGGATCTTTTCCCCTTCCCTTCTCCCTTGTGGTTTCTCTCTACGGAGTTTGGGGCTCGTCACGAGAGACTGGAACAGACCTTGTCTCTAGTTCTCGAGTGGCGAGAAAACTGCCCACGTGTTTGCCGTGCGTGGAGACCCGTGTCGCTGGAAAGGAGGGTCCTGGTAGTTGAGGGGCGAGGTACTGTCCCCAACACACTACTTTGGCCTCTGCTTCAGCTAAACGGGAGGCACCTTAGTCGTCCTCACGGGTGTCAATCGGCTGGTCACTAGTCCTTGTGTCAGTGGCTTGGGGTCAAGCTCTCGGGAGTACCTGCTTTCGGGAAAGCCGACTGTGGGGCTTCAGTTTTGCGTATAGGTCCGGCCAGCCCTAACACAGGAATCTGTGTTCCCTTGTTGGGCTCCGTGGTGGGCGGGGCCGTCGGACCCGAATCTTTTCTCTTTCAAACATGGCTTCACTTTTCATATATTAAAAAAACCTGACTACAAATTAAACTAACAAGATAATGGAAATTATTGAGACAATCCATATTAGCAAGAAAATCCGTAACCGATGCAAATGCAAATGCCAAAGGAAACTACTGAAAAATTGTCCACGCTTTGTCGTTGTTTCGAATAGCCCTTCTGGAGAACTTGCAAAAGATGTCTCCTTTTCTAGTAATAAGCAAACACATACATTAAATCATGCATAGGTGAGCCAAAGAACATTAAGCGTCTCCGTTCTGGAGACCTGCTTATAGATACCGTTTCAGCCACCCAGTCTGCTTCACTTTTGAGTCAAACCAATTTTGGACAAGTACCTATAACTGTGTCAGCACACAAAACACTTAACTACTGTAAAGGTGTGATCTCGGAAATCGACCTTATGCTTGTTTCAGAAGAAGAGTTGGTTTCTGAGTTGGCTGACCAAAAGGTTTGTGCTGCTAAGCGGATCAAGATGCGTAAGGAAGGTCAGTTGATCGACACAAAACACGTGATCCTGACCTTCAAATCGCCTGATCTGCCAAAGAATATAAAGGCTGGGTATCTAAACTGCCCCGTAAGACCGTATATTCCCAACCCAATGCGATGCTTCCAATGCCAGCGGTTTGGTCACTCTGAAACATCCTGTCGTGGCAGCCTGACGTGTGCTCGATGCTCGTCGGTTGGTCACGATAGTGAAAATTGCACTGCTGCTGCATTGTGTGTAAATTGCAAAGGCGATCATCCGGCATTTTCTCGTTCTTGTCCAAAATGGAAAACAGAAAAGGGAGTACAGACGACAAAAGTCACTAGAAACATCTCCTACGCAGAAGCCAGAAGGCTGGTTCAAAGCACACAGCTTCAACCAAACAGATCATATGCTAGTGCCGTTAAAGCAACAGGACCGTTGCAATCAAACATTGATAATGCACAGATTCCTCCAAACAAACCCCCTCAGGGGGCTCACTTTTGTGAGTACGGGTGTGGCAATCCCGAGGTACCCTAGCCCTTCAGGGGATCATCTTCTTGGTGAGACGGGTGTCACGATCCTGGAGCCCCAGTGATCTATCCTCTTTTCCGTCTCCTCTCCTCTTTGGCTGGAACTTTTTCCCTTCCCTTCTCCCTTGTGGTTTCTCTCTACGGAGTTTGGGGCTCGTCACGAGAGGCTGGAACAGACCCTTGTTCTAGTTTTCAAGTGGCGAGAAAACTGCCCACGTGTTTGCCGTGCGTGGAGACCCGTGTCGCTGGAAAGGAGGGTCCTGGTAGTTGAGGGGCGAGGTACTGTCCCCAACACACTGCTTTGGCCTCTGCTTCAGCTAAACGGGAGGCACCTTAGTCGTCCTCACGGGTGTCAATCGGCTGGTCACTAGTCCTTGTGTCAGTGGCTTGGGGTCAAGCTCTCGGGAGTACCTGCTTTCGGGAAAGCCGACTGTGGGGCTTCAGTTTGCGTATAGGTCCGGCTAGCCCTAACACAGGAATCTGTGTTCCCTTGTTGGGCTCCGTGGTGGGCGGGGCCGTCGGACCCGAATCTTTTCTTACTTCAATATGGCAAATTCTAATATTTTTCTAATCAAAGATTTTGAAGTGACTCCAGTCACTCAACCTAGTTCTGAAACGTCTACTACTAAACCAGTCACTCAACCTAGCTCTGAAACCACCTACTAAAAACCAGTCATTCAACCTAGTTCTGAAACGTCTACTACTAAACCAGTCACTCAACCTAGTTCTGAAAATCTACTGCAAAAAAATTACGGACAGATGCAAATAAAAAAAATCATAACAATAGTCCCCGTTTCCTAGTCATCTCTAGTCCTTCTGGCGAAATGCATAAGATGTCTCCTTTCGTAATAAACAAATACATCCAGTCTTGTATTGGTGAGCCGAGAAATATAAAGCGTCTCCGCTCCGGAGACTTGCTTATTGATACAAACTCAGCCACCCAGTCTGCTTCTTTACTTCAGATTAACTAAACTTGGGCAAGCGAATGTCACTGTAACACCACATAAGTCACTGAACTATTGTCGTGGTGTAATCTCAGAATTCGACCTTCTGTATGTTTCTGAAGAAGAGATCGCTTCTGAGCTATCCGAACAAAATGTCTGCGGTGTAAGGCGGATCAAGATGCGTAAGGAAGGTAAGTTGATAGACACGAAACACGTGATCCTTACCTTCAACACGCCTGATCTGCCTAAGAATATTAAGGCCGGATATCTAAATATTCCTGTAAGACCTTATATTCCAAACCCTATGCGATGCTTTCCAATGCCAGCGTTTCGGCCATTCTAAGACGTCTTGTCGTGGCAGCCTCACATGCGCCCGATGCTCACAGATTGGCCACGATTCTGATAAATTGTACCGCTGCGCCTTTGTGTATAAATTGCAAGGGTGAGCACCCAGCATTTTCTCGCTTGTGCCCAAAATGGAAATCGGAAAAAGAAGTCCAGACTGCAAAAGTTACTAGGAACATCTCTTATGCCGAAGCCAGAAGAACTAGTCCAGAAGCACACAGCTTCGACCAAATACATCATACGCCAGTGCTGTTAAATCATCTCGTACAGTTGCCACCCAAACATCAATAGGCACACAGACCCTACCAAATAAAACCCAACCGTCTACATCCAACAAGAAAAAGAAAATGCAACTCCATATAGTACAAAAGAAAGAAACAGTTATTCAAAGTAAGCCCAAAACTGCCACACAAAAAATATCAAATAAAAATAGAAGTCCAGCAATAGCTCTCTTGATGAATGATTTCTGAATCTGCGGATTCAGACTTTATGGAAGTAGAAGAGGGTCTAGAATTTCCCAGGCATCTACTTCCACGAAAAACAAAAGAACAGCACAGAAAAACAAAAACCATTCATAATGGCCACCCTCGTGTCATGGAACTGTCGCGGTTTCCACCGAAATTTGCTTGACATCAAATCTATAATAAATGCTTATCATCCTGTGTGCTTCGCAATACAGGAAACAAATCTGAAACCAGAACACCATGCAAAACTTCGGAGGTTTTCTTTCGTCAGGAAGGATAACCTTGCAGGTGAGCGTGCCAGTGGAGGTGTAGGTCTCCTCTCCTCACTGGATTATCCCTCAAATGTACTTCCTTTGACGACATCCCTCCAAGTTGTCGCTACTCAAATAAATTTTGATATTGTTGTTTCATTTGTTTCTTTGTATTTGCCTCCAAATGAGCACATTTATCAGCAAGATTTAAATAATCTAATAGAGCAGCTGCCTGAGCCTTTTATCATAATAGGAGATTTTAACGGCCATAGTCCACTCTGGGGTAGTAAAGATACAAATTGCCGAGGAAGACAAATTGAGCAGATGATCGAAGATCATAGCCTTTGTCTCCTAAATAATGGGCAAGATACGTACTTCCATGAGCCTTCAAGGACATTCCACGCTCTCTCGACCTTGCCATCTGTTCACCATCTCTGTTGCCATTTTGCACTTTTAGTGTCGGAAATGATCCTGTACAACAGCGATCATTATCCCATTTTTGTGTCTCTTGCACGAAGAGGAGCAAACCCCATGTCGAGAGTCCCTCGTTTTATACTGGACAGGGCAGACTGGGAACTCTTCTCTTCCATTGCAGAGCTCACAGATGAAATGGTAGAAGATGCGCATATCGATGACGCTGTTGAAGCTGTTACTAATACTATTATTCAGGCAGCTATGCTTTCGATTCCTAGAACATCAGGAAAAATACTAAAATATTCGAAAACCATGGTGGAATCGCGACTGTCATGAAGCACTGAAAAAACAGAAAAAAGCATGGGGTATTTTTCGTAGATATCCTACTCTGCGAAACCTCAT